CTCGGGGTTGCGAGGGGCGGTCCCCTCCGCGGCGCTCTGCACCAGGCCGGTGGGCTCCGGGACGCCGCCAACGAGTAAGATGTTTGTTTTGTTCTCAGCGGCGTGTAAATAAAAACTAAACGACGGTACAGCTGTTTGTAGGAGAGTCTCCTTTTGTGGTGCTAAACTAGCAAGGTAGCTAATGGCCTTCCCCTACTGTCTGCCAGCCTCCAGAGCCTTCTGCACCCTGTGACGGTGCCCAGATCATAAATGTTTATGTGCCCCTTGCACCGGGGATTGCCTGACTGAAGTTCAGGTCCCTTTGGTTGTCATTAAGGCAAGAAGAGCTTAGAAATGCTCGTGGCCACATCTTTGAACAGCAGTAAGCCAAGAAAGTGAAAGGTCATTACCATGTAAACAGGGATTTCTGTTCAAATGTACTGCAGAGTAAGAAAACTAAAATCTGGTAGGATTGAGTCTGCTAGGGTTATGTTTATAGGCCGTGCTATGAGCTTGACACTTCTTTCCTGTTTACCTTCACCTTAATGTGGTAGCTGCTATGATGCTTCACCAGACTTAAGAAGAGCTACTGTTATGTTTGTCCCAATATAATGCAGCTTTGCAGTTTGCCTGAAATTCGATGGAAATGAGTGTAGCAAGTTAGTTTTTTTTAATGAGGTGCAAAATCTGGTTTTGAACTTAAGATGTTCCGCCTTGCCTTTTGAAATATTTGGATTATGAGGGTTAAAAAGCATCCTATTTTGCAGAAAGAAGGACTTGCAAGATCTGAATTTCTGCTCCAGGAAGCAGAAGCTGCAGAAAACTGCCGTGACCCTGTTGTGCTAAATTTAGGTATAATGCTTCTCACCTCATAGGTTTGCAAGCCAGGTAAAACATGGCCTGGATTTGGATGCTGCTATGCATTCGACGTTCAGAGGTGTTTGAACCTGTTCTATCCCTGAGCAAAGTCAAAACATGAATTGAAATTTTGAAGAGGGACACCTTGTTCAAAATGCTGTTTGTAAATAGAGACTCACTGATTCAGTGAGTAGGATTCCAATCCCAAATTAGAGATCGAGGTGCTTAAGCAGCTAAGCTCCATGGGACCATATGTAGGAGTAATCAGACTTGTTGACTGCTGCTGAAAAGATCACTGAAAGAGTAGTTGAATTGCAGACTTGTGGCTTCTAATGTTAGCTTCCTAAATGTGAAGGCAAATAAAAGCTTGGCTGTTCCATTAAGAAAGCCTTTGCTGCATAGATGGATATAAGCTTGATTAGACAACAAATCACTTGTTATTATAGGGGTTTTTTTTCATTATTTTAAGTGTGTTTGAGATGTACTTTAGCATTGGTTTCTAGATTTGTTTTCCTGCAGCTCTCATTTCAGAAGGTGTCAGGAGATCTCTTAGGCCACCTCTTTCAGTCAGTTGCTTCCCCTGCAAATGGTTAAGATTAGTTAAGATGTATAGGATGCAGCTGTCTGTTTCAGATCCTAGCTGAAACAGGGTGTGCAAGTTTGCTTTGATAAAATGGTCATGTTTACTTAAGTCAGTGATGGGGAATAGGCCTGTAATTTCTGCATGCCACCTTTTTCAGCGTGAACATGTTTTTAACACATTCCAGCAATGATAGTGATGTTACAAGCATCAGTAAAGAACGCATTTGGGAATAATATTCTTATTACAGATTTGGATGTGGTGGTCTTTTGGCAGAGTGATACAAATACAGATCAGGTGGTACGAAGTTTGAAGCACCTTAATTAAAGTGTCTATACCAGTTGTATCAGACTTTGATTAAAAGCTGAAATGTATCTTTTCCCCATGTCCAAATATTACTGTTTAAAGTATTTTTCCAGTAACACCTACTGTTAATAGTCATGTTGAATGTTACCTGCCTTCTTGGTTTCTTAGGATGTCTTAGCATTAATACTTCTTCAGCTGTTGCTCAGCTTTCACTTGTCTGTCATCCCTTTAGTCATTCTTGTGTTAGTTTGACCTTCCTGTACGCTTCTTTGAATAACTCTTCAACCTTGAGTGATGTTTCCTTGCATATTAGTTTCCACTAGATGCTGTTTGGCTGTGTAGTCTGTGCAGGGAGTCAGGCTTCTTTCAAAGGTGGCTGCCCATCCTCCTACTTCCCCTTGCCCTCCCTCCCCGCACCTACCATCCAGCAGAGAGAAGTATGTGTCTGAAATTGTTCCACAGTATTACCTGTATAGTAAACTGATATTTTTTTCATTTGTACTTCTGTTAAGAACTCTGGTTTTTTTTTCTCAAGTGCTTTGCTTTTAACTTCATATGTCCATTAATTCTGCGGTGTTTTCATGTGGACACTGCTAAAGACTTGCTTCTACTCAGAACTAATTATAGTAACTTCTTGGATCATATGAAGTATTACTGTAAAATACTAGTAAGGGGGAAAACTACTTCTAGTTGATGGTCTTGTAAAGTAGATCTGGGTTTCCAAACCGTGCAGATAAATCTGCAGAGTAGACTGGAAATCCGTTGACTTACACTGCTGGTCGGAAGTGGTGTAACTCATGATGGAGTTGGCTTTGCTATAGCAAATTTCAGCAGTAGTGTATTTTCTTAATGTGCTCCCAGTCCTCTTTGTCCTCCTGTTTTCTGTAATCACAGCAGTATTTGCTGTTGACCAGCCTCTTGAGGATATCATTGACACAGTCATCCAAGGGGTATTTGGTAGTCTCTGAAAGGGCCTGAAAGCTGCTGGATTCTCTTCAACTGTTGGCTCCTTGTCTGGAGAATTTAGCGTAATGAAAGCATCCATGAGGGAGAGGAAATAGAGGCAGGCTAATGTGAAGCATTAGGAGACCTTCTAAGACCTTTTTTTACAAAGAGGTCCCAAACCAAAAATAGGAAGTGGAGATAGTAAAGACTGGAGATAAGGTCTTGGGGAAATCGTGTTAAACTGTCAGACACAATTCAGTTGGCCTACCATATGACCTATCATATGGACACATGAATAAGTAATACGTTCATGTATGGCCTCAGGTATCTCTTATTCTGCTACTTTGTCTCTTGGGAGTCATCCCTCCGTACTGCTTTAAAGATAACTATTGCAAGAGACTGATTTGCTATGTCTGTTTACTCTGTCTTCTGCTTTGCTGGCTTGTTCATAGATAAATATTATCTCTGTAGCAGCATATTTGAAGAGCTCAGCTAACAAGCTATCTTAATGTTCATCTGAGATAGGAAGGTGTCTGTAAACCATGTCCAGTGATGTAGAATTGAAGCACAGAAAAACAGCTCTTGTGAGGAGTCTGACAAGGCGAGGAGTAAAAGGCATTATTTCATGAGTTTCAGCATCGCAGCAGCAAAAACTGTTCAGTGCTAACTAGAACTCTAGCTTCTTTAACATAAAGTGTCTTAAAACTTTCTGCTTCGTAATCCTTGTAGTTAGTATAATAACTTCTTTCAATTTGCGTTTTGTACCAGATTATCTTAGAAAGTTAAAATTGTATGACTGAGATCGCTAATTAACAGCAGTGTTGGATATAATGATGATAATCCTCTTTATGCCGTTTCCTAGATGTAGTGCCACCTCAGGGAAGCACCAAGCTACTAGCCATCAAGGCACCAGTTGAATTTCCTAAAATGTTGTCTTCTAGCTCTCTCTTAGCATCTGCAAACAAAGGTGAGAGCATATCTAGTACTAACCTCGAGGAAGCTTCAAAACCAGCTGAAGACATGAGGACCTTCATGTCAAGAAAAACTGTGGTTGCATTTCCTCAGCGCGTAGTTGTTTCCTCCCTTGAGGAAGAAAACCTCATTACAGCTGCAACAGAAGGAGGCTTGAGGAAAGAGTTAGTTGAGGAAGAAACTTCATCTTCATCCAGCTCAGATTCTAGCTCAGATTCTGAGGAAGAAGATGATGATTCAGAAGTTGCCATTAAAACCAAAGTTGAGTTTCCTAGACGAGATTCCATCTTTTCTGAGAACATAGTGGTAAAGGCATCAATGCTAGCAAAAGAGAACTTGTCCCAGAAATCCCACAAAGAATATGTAGCTAAGAAGTCACACAAAACAGAAACCGATGTGTCTCCTATCAAGCACATCGCATTTTCTAAAACATCAGTCAACCATGAAACATCAAAATCCAAAGCAAGGGACCCCAAAGTAAAATCAACTCCAAAAGAAGCAGATCGGCAGAAGCTGGTCATAGAACCACACATGGTTGAAAGCCGAGACCTGACCGATGTTGCTCATAAATCTGATTATTTAGAGGAAAAGTCCATTGGAACCCAACTAGCAGCTATTCAGCTGAAAGCTTCATCAGTGACTCAGGAAGACAAAAAGCAAAAACTGGTATCCAGAGGAGAAGAAAAAAAGGTGAAGGAAGCACAGGAGTCAGAAGCAAAAGTAGTAACTGCTCCTAAACTAGAAGAGATTTCTGAAAGCACAGTGATGGTGATGGGCACTACAGCAAAGGAGGAGACCATTCAGGAAGCAGGAGTCCAGACTGGAGAAAGAAGCACAACAGAGGGTACACCTTTAAATTGTTTGAACTGTATTGATTCATCTGGGCTAGGGTTTAACTTTTTTTAAAGGCTTTCCAAATTGCTTGTTCATGATTCACTGATCTTTATACTGAAGCTAAGTGTGTAGCAGTGACTTTCTGGAAGATAAATTCTTGTTCGTTGCTTATTGTTGTAAGAGCTCAGTAATACTCAGTTTCCAGTTATGTTGTGAAAGGAAGCAGTCTTCATTTCACTGTATTTATAGTTTCATAAACCAGTTACTTATGAAATGAAAACAAGATTGTTTCCACTGTGAGCAAAATCATGTGTGTTATATGACAAAACTTGTTTTCCCTCTTCTCTTTTCTTGGAAGGATTCGGTAGCTGCCTTTCTCCTCAGACAGATTTGATGCCATCTGATTTTTGTTTAAATCCTGCTATCTTTCTCTCTTTTTTTATTCTAATCTTGCAGTGTTTCAGATTTCAGTAGACTTTGAGAAATCATAGTATAATTCCAGAAAATGCTGATTCTGAGACTGGTAGGCTGTGAGTCATTGAAGTAGCAGAGTTGACCTTATAACCCATTTTTTGTAGTGAGTTGGGGATGAGACAGTGATATGTTTTAGGAAAGAGCATCAGGCACTATATAGTAATCTCCTTAGCTATATTTGCCTGTCTAACTTACCCTTCTTATTTACTACCAGTCCTGTTAGCTTACTGACTGATCCCATTCTGTGTATTTCAGTAGCAAATGTCCCTCTGTCATGATCTGTGTTGGCTTACCATTCTTGCCTTTCAATTTAGGCGGCATACAATTAAGACTCCCCTTCTGGTTGGTGCTTTGAACTAAAAAATTCACCTACTTGGAAGTAAAAGCAGCATAATTGTAAAGCTGCTTGGATATCATCCTTCAAGTGATATCCTTGCAGAAAAGGCCCTGGGAGTCCAGGTGGACAGCAAGTTGAATGTGAGCCAGCAATGTGCCCTTGCAGCAAAGACCACCAGTGGTAACCTGGGCTGCATTCAGAGGAGTGTTGCGAGGTGATCCTTCCTTGGTGAGATGCAGCTGGAGTGCTGTGTTCAGTTCTGGGCTCCCCAGCACAAGAGAGATGTGGAGCTACTGGAGAGAGTCCAGTGAAGGACCACTAAGACAACGAAGGGACTGGAGCATCTCTCCTGTGAAGAAAGGCTGAGGGAGCTGGGACTCTTCAGCCTGGAAAAGAGAAGGCTAAGGAGGGATCTCATCAATGTATGTAAATACATGAAGGGAGAATGCAAAGAAGGTAGAGGTGAGACTTTTCAGTGGTCCCCAGTGACAGAACAAGAGGCAGGTAGTACAAACTGAAACACAGGGTTTTGCCTGAACATCAAGAAACACTTTTTTTGTTACTGTGATAGTGATAGAGCACTGGCACAGGTTTCCCAGAGAGGTGGTGTAGTCTCCATTATGGGAGATGTTCAAAAGCCAGGACATGGTCCTGGGCAGCCTGCTATGGCTAAGCCTGCTTGAGCGTTTGGGGTTGGACCAGATGACCTCCAGAGGTGTCTTCCAACCTCAACCTTTCTGTGACTCTGTGAAGTTACAAATACTCACTTAACACTTTGATAAGTGAAAAAGAATTGCTTTTGTACATTGATTTCCAGGATACAGTGCTGAGTAAAAGATCTGCTTTCTCTCTTAAGGGGCTAGTTGGCTTATAATTTGATCAGTTTTAGGAATTGGAAGCTAAGCTTACCTTCTTCCCTGACTGCAACTCAAATGGTAAAATGCAGCACTGTTTGCAAATGACATTTTCATTTACTTTTTCTTCCTTGTAGTCAGCAGCAGGAGCTTTAAAAAAAAAATTGGGAAAGCCTATTTGTAGTTATCTATAGATGATGCTTTTCTCCCCATTTATCCATAGTGGAGTTCTGGATGTTCAAGTGTTACATTTTTCCCCACATTGAAGCTGATATGAAGATCTGAAAAATTAGGTCAGTTAACTTCAAGTTTGAGAGGGAGGACTTGGTCTTAAAATGTGCTAATGAATCAAGGTGAAGATTATGATACATCCAAGATGTATGAAACAGCCTCCCCTATTCTGATGCTGTAAATCCAGAACAAGGTTGAGACCATGTTACAAAATTTTCCTGCAGATCTGTATCGATGGGGCACTAGTACCACTGTGCCTCTGACTCATCATCATCATGACCACACCAGCAAAACCCTTTTGGGTAGGACTGGGCTTTGCTGAAAACGGCACTTTTGCTGTTCAGCTCCTCTTGCTCTGTGCAGGTGGTAAGGCTGTGACAGCAGGAAAGTTTCTGCTGCACTCCCACTAGAGGACTCTGCTGCAGTGGCTGTCGGAGAGGTGGGGGTTAGTACAGGCAAGCTCACACCCCTTTCCTGATGAAGTGTCTTTGGGTGCCAGGGGGTAGCAAAGAGTCAAACATGGCTACGCCATATCTCCAGGCGTATCTTGTCCTCCCTTCCTTTTGAAGCCTTCTTTGAGAACAGCTACTGCTTTTCTGTGTTTAATGTTCACAGTTAATGATAATACCTTCTGTGATACTTCTGTCCTGTTCCTGTGTTCTTTTGTTCATCTGCAGACCCTGCAGCAGGCACGCTGAAGACATAAAAGCAATTTTTCCCATTACAAACCTGGATGTTGAGGTGATGTCATCCACTTTGTAGGGCAGGCATGCTAAGCAGTTAGCAAAAACTGCTGACTTTAACTGCTAAGGAAGTAGCAAAATAGTAGCATGGGAACTCAGAAATACATCTCTGATTCATTTAGGAAGAACATCCTGTTAAATGCTTGCTCTTTAAGAGAGAAAGCATAGATGAATTCTGAAGTATGGGGAGGATGAACTCAGAGATAAATTTTTCCTTCGAGAAGCCAAGTACAGTGTATTTGGGCAGGAAAAATGAGACTCCATCTGCTTTTCATCCTGAGCATCTGTCTCAATTTGGAATGTCTCTTGCAGGTTGAATGTACACTTGCCTACACTTGCCTGTTCTTGGGGCTATTTGCAGCAAAGACTGCATCATCTGGTTTTTATATCTGTAGTGTTGTCTCCTGTGAGTTGTCACAGTAGGAACTGAGCAGTAGGCACAGGGATATTTCCTTTCATAGGTTGTGTGTGGTGTTTTGCTGAAACCATGGCTTACTACATTGCGTTTTATAAGCCAGCCTTGCTAAACATTATGGATATGTGCTCTTAAACTGATAGCATTTAATTGCAACAATTATGTCATAATTAAAGGGAAATTCTTGTGTTCAGTTGCTTGAGTTCTTGTATTTTTATTGTAGATGGTTGTATTACAAAAAAAAAAAAGCTTAATATGATCTAACCTAAACCACTACATACAAATTTACATGGCGAAGCTTTTCACTAGATTATGCTTATGTCTTTCCTATACCCTAAAATTCTGGGTATACAAGAATAAATTAATATTGGGAGTAAAGTTTTATTTTTTGCAATTTCCTTGGTTGTAAAATCAGCCCGTAACAGGAACCTTTTGATGTACATGGTACTGCCTAAATTTGCGTAGTATTCTAAAAGTATAAGAATTAATATTGGCTTTAATGTGAAGTCTGAATAACTTCATTAGGTTATTCTTTTAGGAAGAAGAGCTGATACAAAGTTTAGAAGATTATATTTAGAAGAAAGGAAACTTACATCAAAGGCTTTTGATACATTACTGTTCAGTATAACCGTATTTGAAATTAAACTGTGGAGATCTCTATAATTCCATCACTTCTCCCCATGGAGAAAAAATTCAGTCTGTAAAGTAGTTCTAATAGCTGTATCTCATGGTCTGACATGGTGATATATCATTTGTACTGCTGCTTTGCCTCTCCTGGCTTGCAAAGAATGTCACCTACTGTTCTGGCTGGAGTGAAAACCAAGGCAACTATGAAAAAGCCAGGAAATGCAGACATATGTCTTCAAAATATAAATGAACTGTTCTGCCCTATCCTCCCCCAGCATTAGGTGGTAGTTGGGATCTTAAAACCTATGCTGTGTTAGATGACTTGCACTGGGTCCTGTTCCCCTACTGTACACTAATGTGCTGCTTTAGGACCAGACAGTGTACCAGCAGAACTTTGTAAACTTACCCTTTGTTATAGTTGCTGATTTATTTTTTTTAATGATGACTGGATGAGAGATCTGACAGTGTATGAAGGCTGGCTCAGTAATTAGGAATCTTGCCTTCGGTGTGGCATCCTTATAGTGACCAGTTACTGTTTGTTTTCACAGAGCCCACAGCAGCTGCTGAGCCTGCTCCAGAAGAATTCGATAATTCTACCTACAAGAACCTTCAGCATCACGAATATAACATTTATACCTTTGTTGATTCTGTGGTGGTTCTCTCAAAATTCAGGCAGCCTCAACCATCTTCTGGAAGACCATCACCAAGGCACTGAAAGAACCGCATTTAAAACAAATGCCCAGGCAGAATGATAAATTGTTCTATTTAGCACTATTGCTTCATCAGTATTATAAATCAGGTAATAAATAATAAATAAATGCATGATAACTTATGCTTGTGCTTTTGAACAGTTCTTGGTTCTTAGAGTCCCTCTCTTCTTGACTTCTATGAATGAGCTGCAAATGAATCATCACTGAATAAAAATAGTTTTTCTGCCTTTCAGCATATATTCTTTAGTGATAGTGTAAAAATATCCTGACTTTTCAGTGTCTCCAAACTTTTAATACTGACCGTTCTTTCAGTACCATGTCAAAGAATGTAACGGCCCTTGTATCAGTGTCTGCTCAGTATGTGCCATGATTTTAGTAGGTGGTGTTATTGCTGTAATGCAGTGAGCTCTTGCACACAAACATGTTCCCAGCTCTGAAGAGGTTATGTTTACTCTGGATTTAAGTTAAAATCATTGGCTGCAAACAGCATAAGAAGTGTTTGTCTCCTGTGGCAAGATGTATGTTTTGTGTTAGTAGAGGAATGTAAGTTTATGTAATGTGATTGAAACATCTCAAAACCTCTGCTGTTGTAAAGGGAGAACATGCAACTTCGTTTAATCTTCTATTGGGGGTTTTAGCATCCAGGTTCTGCAGTAATTGAAATAATTTAAAATGCAAGAGAATCCCAGTGGGCAGTTCCTAATGAACTACAGCACATTGATGAGACTCTGAGAAATAACATATTTTAGTGGGTAGAATCACTTGAATGTTATCTTTAAATGTGATGAAATTAGCATTGTGGTAAAATCAGCTCCTGGTACTAATTTTTCAGTGGGACTGCGTTTCAGTTCCCACTTTTTTTTTCCCCATCACAATAAAGGTTAAGATTGCTGTCCAGCTTTGCTCTTGCTCTGCAGAAAATGTGTGAAATGAGGCACTTCTCAATATATGTTATCAGGGCTTACAGTTGGTCTCAGTAAATTTTGTATTTCCATCCTATTAGTAACAGTCTTCTGCCCACTGGGAAAACTGCCTTGATGACCACCAGCTGTTGTGGGTTTAGTGCCATTTTGGCTTCTTGTTCATTTTGGGTTTTTTGGTGTTAATTGGTCTTTGAGCAGTTGTCCTTGCAATAGCTCCAGCATTTTCCATCACCTGTCTGTATTCTTTCAAGCAACAGAATACACAAGATCAAAGGGAAAAGAGAGTCAGCTTTAGTAGTCTATCTCGGTATTGGATACAAATCCCTGGGTGCAATTAGTAGAACAGCTATTTTATACTCTAACTTGGCAAAAATGTGGTAAGAAGGATCAAGAGGCCTACATCAATCTGCTGTGTGGAATTTTAAGTCAGAAACTTCTGGCAAGCAGTTTTATTGTCCTGTAAAAATGAAAAAGCATATTACTGACTCTAACTATGAAATTTAAAAATCAGTGAATGTATAAATCCATGTGCTTAGGAATAAAGAGCAGAAAGTCACTTTGAGGCAACAGTGGTACCATGTACTCTGTACTTGTAAAAGGGAAAGAAATTTGCTGTTAACATTAAAAACATGAAAGAATAAGGAAAAGGGTCTTCCTTTCTTAAGGGCCCACCGGAGGGCCCCAGTAAAGCTGTGGTGTTTTGTTATTAACTGAGACTCTGTGTAGTAACATGAACCCTGCGGCTTAGACCTGTGTTGGTGCTGAGCTCTGTTCCTAACTTTTTGGTTAGTGATTACAGAAGGAGGCTGCAAATTGTTGGATAGAATCGGAACAGTAAAATGTAGTCCATTAATGCATTTAGATATTTACTGAATCTGCCTGCAATAGCTGTGACTGTTAGCTGTTTGGAGTCAGACTTGTTCACCTAGTGGCCTTTTTATTTCTAAGGAGGGTTGGTGTTATAAACACTGACTTAATCAGCTAAGGAGGAGTGGGCTGAAGCAGAAGTGTGTCTTGCTTTCAGTCAACTCTTACACTCCCCTTAGCTGCATTTCTAGCTAAGGAGATTCTGACCTGTATTTAGGCTAGGCATTTTGCTACCCTTGTGTCAAGATTACAGCAAAAATTAATGGTGAATGCCCTTCCTATCTGTGTAATCCTGTCTCACTGTCTTCTGGTGATCTTTTCTGCACCTCTAAAATCAAGCTGGAAGTTAAGTAACTTCATAACTCCTCTGGTACATACAGTGCATGTCATGTTTGTTCAGCTCAGTGAACCAGTCTGCTCCGGGAAGGGCAGATAATGTGAGGAAGGGCACCAAGACTTTTTCCCACTGGTGTGTTTTCCTGGACTTCAATGAAAAAGGCTTCATTTTTTTTGTACTTGGCTATTATCAGATGTTATTGTGTTTGAGTCATATGCTAGCATTTAAATTTGAAGCAGGATGTGATACAATATGCTCAAACTCTGTAACGTTAGTGAGTAACTTTGCCTTGCTGTGCTCGGCACTTGTCAGATACAGTCAGGGACCTTGTTTTAAAGAATGTATAATCCAGGATATTAACATAATTCCTGGAAAACCTCAAATGTGAAAGAAAGTAAGTCTCAGTTTTTGGGAAGACCAGCTCTTCAGAACCAGCATAAACTTCAGGTGTTACTGTTGGAGTACATGAGAATCTGGAAAGTGGAATTCACTAACTTTTCATTAAAAAGATGAAACAACTACTTTCCTTGTCAAAGGGGGTTTGAGTTTTCAAACTTTAGGTCCTTCGATTTATTTATTTATTTATTTTTAGTGTAGCGAACTGCTAGTAAAATTGCTTTTCAGAATTTCCTTCTACGTAGGTCCTTCAAAAGTAACTTAGGAGCCCAGAAGGTTCTGGACAGCAGTCAAAAACTAATCCAAGGTCCAGAAGCAGTAATGCAAGCAGAGTTTGTGGTGATCACTTTAGTTATTACAAGGTCAAGATTTTTTTGGTCCTCCTGGTGCCTCCTTTGGCATCTAGTTATGGTAAGCACTGCAATCTATAAGGCTATCTTCAAGATTTATTTTAAATTTGGGAAATGAGACTTTTAACTGAGTGCACTTACAGATCTTTCACAGTATGTCCGCAGCTTTCAACAATCAAAACACATTCAGTGCATCTCACTCTGGTTTCCTGTAAACTCGTAAGCTATAAAAACCTGCCCGTAGTCTTTTTTCCCACCACAAGAGATGCCATTATCTAAGCTACTTGTACAGTTGTCCTGAGTCTGCTCTTAATGTGATGAAAAATGGTGAGAAGTGTTAAGGCTGTCTCAGGATGATGTGCAGTTCCTCCTTCAGTTGCTTATGGTAATGAGAACATTAGCTGAGAAATCACCAGACTGTGCAAGTCTGCTGAAGATCCGCAGAAGAACAGGACTTCCCAGCTTTATGCTGATCAGAATCCCACAGCTCACAGCGCTTTGGGGAGATTCTGTGATCTTGTGGCATTTGGGAAGAAGAGTAGGAGAAGCTGGGGAGAGCAGCCGCTTGTTTCTTCCAAACAGTTTTGATTCCTGGTGGGCCAAATCAGTGACTATCGTGCAGTGAGTGCGTAGAAAGCATGCTCACGGTATCCTGTAGCACCATAACGGTAGAACCATGCAAATTGAGGCTGGAAGGGAAGTCTTGAGATGATCAGTCCTCTGCTCTGTAGCAGGTGCAATTAGATGAGGTTGTCCTGGACCTTGTCCAGTTGAGTTTTGAGTATCTCCAAGGATGGAGATCCTGCAGTCTCTCTGGCCTCCTTCTCCAGCATTTGAACACCCTCATGATTTAAAAAACAAATGAACAAAAACCCCAGCAAACAAAACCTTTACCTGTTATCTAATTGGAATTTTTGAGTTTCTGACAGTGATCCTTACTACATGCTTCTGACAAGCCTGGCTTTGTCATTTCTGTACCCTCCAAGGAGGTAGTTGAAGGTAGCAATAAGGTCCTCCTCATTCTTTTCTTCAGACCAGATAACCTCTGTACCTTCAGGCTCATCTCGTGTGACATACTCCAGGCCCATTTGCATTTTTGTGTGGTCACAGTGTGCCCTCGGCGCATCCCACTCTGTTCTGTAGCAACACACGTTGCCTAAGCAGTCCCTGGCTGTCTTCCTCCCTGTAGCTTATGCTCTAAGGTATAACGTGCGAAAAGGGGGTTTATGTTAATTTTCCTCATTTTTTAGTGGGGAATCTTCCATAGTAAATGGGAAGGGACCTGGGAGGCTGCTGTTCCTCAAGATGCTATGTGGCGACAGTAGTGAGGGGCAGGCTCAGGTCCCCACTGGGTCCTGCTGTAAAAACAAAGAAAAAATTTTGGAATCGTTCTTGGCCCAAGTATTTGCTATCTGCCTGTGATTTACAACCCTCCTATGCTATTCTGTATTGTATGCTGTTGTTTGTCCACAGAGTTAGACAAAAGGAGCTAACACAATAAGGGTAATACAGGCACTGTAGTAAAAGTCCTTTGAACATTTGAGTGCCTGACCTTACAACCGTGGTGTTCTTGTATTGTGGCTTTGTTTGGTTTAATTTTATCCTTTGAGAGAAACTCTTCTAAGCTCTGGGTGATTTTAATTAAACTCTTAGAACTCTAAACAAAATATCCTGTCAAAGTTCCAGATCATCCTTCTCCTCTCATGTGGTTGTATTTCATGGAATTATAAATACTTACCTATCTTTTCTATGATTCTATGGTTTTGGTTGTTACATATTATTCTTAGTGTTTATCTCAGCATGATACCACTCCCAATACAATCTGCACATATTTTTTAGCGCCTTTTTTTTTTTTTTTGCCTACACCCATTCAATTACATTTGGAAATTCATACCCACCTCTGAAAGTCTTAGGATATGTGGCAGCTTTGGGATAGAAAAGACCGTGTTAATGCATAGTTAGGAAGTTAAGTTTAAGCATGTGTTTATGATAATAAAATATCCCACAAACTTTGGGTCAGTGTTTAGAGTTGATGGGTCAGCTCTGAAAACTTATTTTGGTCTCCTCTGCACGATGAACAAACTTTTAACTGCAAAATAGATTAACAGGGACATGGTTTTGTAAATCTGTAG